AAGTGTCTGATTGAAAAGAGAAGCACAGCACTGGATAGCAATTTTGTATATATTTGTATGTTAAAAGTAATTTACTGCTGTGGTCAATTTCTGTTTCATACATATGACCGTTCACAAATACCGGCGTGGCATTTTGGCTCTAATAACAAACTGCTGCTCCGTACAGACAACCACTTTGTTGTGCAAGTGCTATAGGTGATGCAGTGCATTTGTTCATTTGCAATTTCTTCTCTCTTGCTCGGTCTCTTACACAAACACTCACAAACATAGGCTATATAAAGTGCTGCAGTGTGCCACAAACACTCCCCCCAGTTTCATTTAGCCCTTTATCTGGCCAGAAATTGACTGCATTCAAGAGTGGAATGGATGTAATAATTGCATGCACTCTATAACATGCTTCACAAATGTGTTTTTGAAGGAAAAAGGGTAGGTTTCAAGGTATTCCTAATGGCTTTCTGCCAAGGATTGGCGGTCCACTCTCACTGTATTGTTTATTTGCTACAGTCAAATATAGCCTGTGCTCACATTTGCAACCGGCAGGGAAGATGGAACACTGAGACTCTGGAAAATCTTCAATACGGGATCTCAGAATTCATTGAATTGGCTCCGAAGAGTCACAGATGGTCAGCAAAACGATTTATAATGTTCAGGAACGCTGCAGCAGATCTTTTCGACCTGGGTGAAAAGACTTTCTAAAGTACACCTTCTTGGCTGCTCTGTTGGTGAAATGCATTTTTTTCATCTTAACAGTTTAATCCAACACTGAAATTTGCTTTGCGAAATATATAGTTGAACATCACGTACTGTGATTACGATAACAGTTGCCTGACTGACTGAGCCGTGCAGTGGATGCCCTGTGAAACAAAGGCTTGAGGGGATGGTATGTGTGTCAGAGCAGAGCTGGCTATGAGTGCGCCCCCACACTGGCTCTATCCATGTCAGCAGGACTGTGTGACTGAAAGGCACGGGATTATGTACACCAAAGGCCAATGGGTCAGTGGATAAGAAGTCTTCTCTGTTACCACAAATCCACAGATTAAACGCAACGTCGAGGGCTACCGCTGCCCTGAGGGCATATGGGTCTAAAACACAACTCCAAGAGAGCTTTGGCTTAACCCGTCTGTCACTGTGGAGCCACGTGGCAGCATATGAGTGGACGTTTCTCTTTAAATCCTACTACATGTGGCAGGCCTTTTAAATGTGTCCGGGTCATCCGGGGGTTATTTGTAATGTCCCTGACATGATATCTTAATTGGAAAGTTAATCCCGTGCGGGGGCAGCTGACACCCTGTTGTAACGGCACAGAGGAAAATCAGCAAAGCTCTCCAGCTCGTGAACACCGGGCTGTTTCACTCTCTGTCTTTGCCAAGCACAAGTGCCCGCCTGCCTCAGGCAGTTGAACATATACACTGGGTCTCTGTGGCACTGATTTTACCTCTCTGCCTGCCTTCTCTTGATTTAGTAAAAAGGCCGGGGCATCAGGGTACACCTACAGTAACAAATCAGGCTAGGTGTTATGATGTCTGTCAGAGTCACACTGGCATTTACCAGTGATGTTTATTGTGGGCAAACTCAGAATGTGCCTGCGCACATGTTTGCATATGTCTCAGTGAGTTCACAGATATGGAGAACAGCAGTGATGCACGGGGGAGCAGATGGGGAGAGAAAGGTGCTGTGGGTCTGTGTGGGATAGTGGCAGGAGGGCCGTTGGTGACAGGCTCTTGTAGCGTCTCGTCTGCTCCAGTGATCCCGGGGAATCTGGGTCATTTCCAGCCCGATCGCATGTAACTGCTCCCCACTCCTTCCCTCCCTCTGCCCAGAGCGAGCTACGACCCAGCTACATGCTAATGACGACAGAGGGTCATAAATGTGCTCCTGCTGTAAAGTGGGTGGACGCAGCAGTGGTCGTCACTGGACCCCTGTGACACTCTGCTCACCCCTGAGTCCCCTGAGCCGCTCCGCTCACACAGAGACTAGCCGGATCAAATCACCTGATACCCAAGTGTTTAAAAACCTTCGGTATTATTCATTGCACTGAAATTACTCACATCATGTTTGTTCAAATGTAGCAGAACAGTGCGGCTTTCTCCTTTTAGGAAAAGTGAGTTAACATTATTCCAGTCCTAATAATGCCACTTGCCCTTGGGGGGAAATGACTTGTTTCTGATAAACGTGATGAAAGATTTCCATTTTGTAAACACTTCAAAGGCTTCTTGTTGTTCAGTTTTTGGTTTCTAATTAATCCCTTTAAACCATTCCTTTTGAACTTTTGATAAGAGTTCATAAAAATGACATTCTAGTTTAGTTAAAAACTGAATAGAAATCAATATTACTAACACACAAAAAAATGATTTTTTTCCCCATCTTTTTTTTGCAATTCATGTGAAAATTTTTTTTGTTAAATTGTTTGTGGTGTTTTTTTTAGTTAAAGGTTGTTTTTTGGGGGGGGGGTTGGGGGGGGATGACAAGATAGCATGCTCCAGTTCCAGTTACATGTGTGCACACCCAAACAAATGAGGATATTCTCAGGGCTAAAAGTCCCATCTATTAATTTAACATCAGGTTCTGGCCTGTGCTCTGACGGCTGCAGGGTGACAGCATGATTCATGGAGCACATGGGCCAGAGAAAGAAGAAATTGGCGTGTTTGAATGAGGTCCACTGTTGCCGTGCTGAATGTGTGGAGATATTGGTGTCAGGAGGCCTATCTCCTGCTGACACGGTGACATAGGCCTGGGCTGGCGAGCGGGATACAGTGGGGCCTATACACAACTTTGAAATATCTTATCTTTGCAAAGAAAAATCCAATTTTAGGAGGCGGATCCGATTACGAATACTTGAATTGTTTAATACAACACGAAAACCACATATTCAGGTTGAAAATAGCCAAAACATGCCTGCGCCCTCTTTTATCATTTCGTAAATATTTAAAGGGCCGCTGTGTGAGCTAGACGTGTTGCTTACACACCGTGGTCTACAATTGTTTTTTTGCAGCCCTCCGTTTAAAAGATCCAAAACCAACTCATATTTAATGAATGCGCCTTTCGTCGAGGAAAGCATTGCAGTTCTTGTAAATTGAGTTTGGAACTGCAAGCCTGCAGGGTTAAAATATTTACAGGCAGCTAAATATTTCAAAGCAGCACCTTGTCAGTCGCCCTGACAATTTACTTCTTCCGGCTCCATGCGATGGAGGGTCCTCTGCTTTACTCACAACTGGATGGTGCTTGAATGTGGGTGAATGATGAGGCCCCGAAAGACGCACGTGAACTGTCCTGTGAGCTCTGTTATAGCCACTGAAAAGCTCTAATAACGTAAGGTGGAAACGATGCATTTAATATAAACACATATATCTATCTATATATGGATGCATATATTTAACAAATGACTGCAGTCCACCAGCTCTAAGTGTGGATGTTTCTTAATTAATGTTTTTTTTTTTAAAACACGTGAAAGTCTGATCAGTGAGACAGCGACAGAATGAACAGCTTCATCTGCAGAGGGCATTTCATAACCTCGCATCAAGAGTATATTCACGAAAAAAAAAAAAAATCCCGAAGGGGATTCAGGCCGAGTGTGTCGAACGTGCATGCGCGCGTGATCAACAGGAAGAGAAAGAGGCAGAGAAGAGCGTGCGAGTGTGTACGTGGTGGGGGGAGGGAGGGGGGGTGTATCTGTGAAAATAATATCAGGCTTTTCCGTCAGAATGAACTTTACTACTGTATCCAGCCATGAAATAATCTGACCCGACACTTCAAACCATCTGCGCTATCTATCCGCCCTCTTATTTACCAAATCAGCCTGTGCACAAAACGGAGTGTGTCTGATAGCCTACTAAAACCCCGAGTAGCCTGGCGGGGCTTTGATAATCCTATATACACAGATATTTCACCCCTGTTATGTTTTGTAGACATCACAAACTGAACGGCCAGCACACACACACACACACACAGGCTGTGTGGCCACAATGGACAGAGCAAAAAAGCAAATACTAATGATGAAGGAACGGAAAAAGAAACAATGCTAATTCTGTATTTCAGGTTATTTTCTCTCCCTTTTTTTCCGTGGAGGATTTGTTCGTGCTTCTCGCAAAAGAGCTGTCACGACTTCAGCACAGATCTGATTCGTTTTCATTAATTACATTTTTTGAAAGTTGATTTATTTTTATTTTTTTTAGAGACATAAGGTTGCAAAACCTCTTTGCCAGCAAATTTACAGTCATGTTGAATTGTTGCTCATTGCAGCTGATATATATTTATTCTATATCTTAAATACAATAATATTACATGTTAACATTTACTATCAATGCATTTTAAAGGAAGTCAATTATTATTTTTTTTAAATCCAACTGTTATCATTGTTTAAAAAGACAGTGTCCCATGGAAAAAATAATAATAAAACAACTCTTTGCAGGCAGAATTAAATACATCACTTTTTTCTTTTTTTTCTCTTCTTTTTGGGGAGAGGCAAATCGTCCAAAGTTTTGCCTGCTGTCTGGCGTGATCAGCTGATTTTTACCTGAGGGCAGGCGAGTCGTTTATTGTGAGCGGAGACGTGCCATTTTTTTTTTCAGTGCAAAGCCCCTTTAAAGCGCTGCGGAGGGCTCGTGGGCTGAGCGTGCGTGTCTGCTGTGGCACTTCACGCAGGCTGAAGGGTCTTTTTCTGCACAAAGCCTCGGCCCGACGGAGCAGCGCGACGGGGGCAGCCGGACGCTCGAAGACGCCGAGCAAAAAAAGGTCAAAATGTTTATATTATTTTTGAAAAGGGAGGCGCTGAGATCTCCTTTCCGCCTGATTGGCCGAACTTGACATTGATTGACGTGCATCCATGGCAACCGAGCAGCCAATCTGCCAAGTCCAATAGGAAATCATCAGAGGGGGCTTGACTGGCTTTTTTTTCTCCCCCCCTTAAAAATACATCTCTGCTCCGGCTTTAATTCTTTCCTACATTCAATCCCAGCCTACCTTGAAAAATACACCGCAGCTCTTCATTCCCCCCCCCACCCCCCCCCCCACCCCCGTATCAACGGCCGTCTGCATGCCAAGTTTTCCGATCCCGAAGATGCGGTAGTCGCGCTCCTCGCGGCATCGTCCCCCTTCCTGCACGGTGTTCGGTGTGGTTTTTTTTTCACGGCTGGTCGCGCGCTCGCTCTCGGTAACTTTGGGATTGCCTCGTCTCTCGGGGTGTCTCGGATTGCCTGGGCGCCAGAAAGAAGCGGGAGGACCAGAGGCGGAGGAGAGCGGAGGAGAGAAAAGGAGGGGGGGGGGAAGAAGGGAGAGAAGAAGAAGAAGAAAAAAAAAGAAGCCTCCATGTTTCAGCTGCCCATCTTGAATTTCAGCCCGCAGCAGGTCGCCGGGGTCTGCGAGACTCTGGAGGAGAGCGGCGACGTGGAGCGCCTGGGCCGCTTCCTCTGGTCGCTGCCCGTGGCGCCGGCGGCCTGCGAGGTCCTCAACAAGAACGAGTCGGTGCTGAGGGCCAGGGCCGTCGTGGCGTTCCACACGGGCAATTTCCGCGAGCTCTACCACATCCTGGAGAACCACAAGTTCACCAAAGAGTCGCACACCAAGCTGCAGGCGCTGTGGCTGGAGGCGCACTACCAGGAGGCGGAGAAGCTGCGCGGCCGCCCGCTGGGGCCGGTGGACAAATACAGGGTGCGCAAGAAGTTCCCCCTGCCCAGAACCATATGGGACGGAGAGCAGAAGACCCACTGCTTCAAGGAGAGGACCCGGCATTTGCTGAGGGAGTGGTACTTGCAGGATCCCTACCCGAACCCGAGCAAAAAGCGGGAGCTGGCACAGGCCACCGGACTGACACCCACACAAGTGGGAAACTGGTTCAAAAACCGCAGACAAAGAGACAGAGCGGCGGCTGCCAAGAACAGGTGAGCGGCACGTGCATCCTTTTAAAAAAAATAAAAAAATAAATGGTTTCTCAGGTTTTATTATTTCATCGCGTTTGAGAATAAAAATGGCAGTAATCAGCCTGAAGACAACATTTGCCAGACGTGCACTTTAATGTAGAAAAACAGGCCAGCCCTGACCTGGTTCAGCCACGGCAGAAATCCTCATGTTGTTAATGTCAGATTCGATCTGTAATCCTTAAACGTTCATCTTTTTATTCCCCCCAACAAATGTGTGCCCCCTTTGGGCCATGATGGCGCGAGTTTGAGCAAGTTTAAATACAGAGTGGTGACACCAAAATAAAATCCCTGTCAGATTAGATATTTTTCCGATATGCGTAACTTAATGTTTCGGTTTTATTGCAACACTATAGAATATCTTCAACAACAGTTGAGTTGCATCTAATGGTGTAACTCGTCATATTTCCAGCCTGATAGACGAGCAGCTCCACGATGACAACATCAATCACCAAAATACACATCTAGCATCATTCTAAAATTTGCAAATGTAGAACTCAGTCTTTTGGTTTAGTGCTGTCAAATTTGGTAAAATCTATATTTCTTGCAAAAATCAACATTCTTTAAAAAATCTAATAAAATCAGATATGTTTTAAAAATAGCTATATTTGTAACCAAAGTCACTCCATAGTCTCATTTATTTTTAATGATATCCTTTTTAAAATAAAATAAAAACGACCATGATGAGATTATTACAACCTTATTTTTCGCCAATTTCTTCGAGTTTATTTTAAACATTCATCACATTCACATCTATATAAAAAATAATTAAAAAGTGTCAATAATTGTGAAAAGGCTGGATGGATGGGAGAGGGAGAACGCCCCTCTGCAGGCTCTGACCCCGTTTCCCCCTCCTCTGCCCAGGTTACAGCAGCAGGTCCTGTCCGGCGGCTCGGTTCGCTCCCTCGCGGACGAGGACGGCACCGTGGACCGTCTGGGGAACTCGTCCAGTCCGGAGGCCAGCCTGTCCAGCAAGGCGGCCGCCTCGGCCATCTCCATCACCTCCAGCGACAGCGAATGTGACATCTGACGGGCGGACCCGAGAGAGCTGACGGTGGAAAGGGGGATGCAGTGAAAGACAATCTAATAAAACAAGTAATAGTGCCTGCGTTGAGTTAAAAGAAACACACACACACACACACACGCGAACACACACCAACGATCACACGACTGATATTTTGAAGGCTGCCAAAACACGAGGGGATCCGCCACACGCGCGCGGGGGACTGCCCGTCCTCACCCTGTTAGGCCTGTATTTTTGTTTTGCGTTTTACCCACGTGTGGATGACTGAAAAACGGACAAAACACATTTCACGGACTAATACCGCTTCAAGGTGAAACGTAAAAAAAAAAAAGAAAAAAGAAAAAGAGGAAGAGGAAAAAAAGAAAAAGGGATGAGGGCATCCAACTCGCCTAACCTGCTGTTATCTGTGGGTATTTCATGTTGAAAAGAACTGTGATATTTTTACTTTAAAGTTTTATAAATAATGTTTATTTGCTTATTTAAAACGATCTGCTCTATACTGTCTCTTCGAATTTTGCTTGGTGTTTTTAATACTTACCTTGTCCACAGGTAAACCTGTTGAGCATGCGCGCTTTAGTGAAATTGTGTTTCAGTAAAGGAAAAAGTAAAGATAACTTAATAAAATAATTGTTGAGCAAGAAAGTTCAAAGTTTAGTCTCTCTTTTAAATCCACGTGTTTTTCCAGAAATGTCTTTATTTTTTGTAAGACGAGTCGTTAATTCTGAATATCACCGTGGTGGTAACGCGCAAATCCTTCTGGCTGTTTTCATTCACAGAAGTATTTTCGGGATTAGAATGCCACGGTGCAATCACTGACACGTTTTAGAGCGAGCTCTAATTGGCCAACAAGCTCTGCGTCCTGTAATGCAGGGTGACAGCGAGAGGTCACTGAGAGGCCGGCTCACTAACCCGGATGATCCGCGGGAGAGATCACAGAGATCAAAACACAGCAGATTGTGGACCTGGGCTTACACATGCACGAGAAAGAGGAGGAACAAAAAAAACATGCAGGCTTCTTAAAACGCGCAAGTATCTCTGTCCGGAAAATGGAAGCGTTAGTCTTCAAATGAACGCAAGCAAGATAAATGTGTTTCATTGAATTGTTTCCGTGTTATCGTGAATATTGGAGCTTTTTTTTTTTGTTTCGTTTGATTGGTGAAGATCGGTGACGTATCTGTGTGTGCAGCCCCAGAATTCCCATCTATGACTCGAGTGTTTTTCTGGCTGAATAGATTGGCGTTAAACAGCCTGCAATCCTTAAGGATCAAACGGCAAAAAACGGCCTAAATCCGACTAAAATTGTCAGCTTTTCCAGCCGACGTGGCAACCACCTGGTTTCTCCCAATTTGCGATTAATCAGTCAACAGTAACTTATGAAAACAGACAAAAGCCTTTGAGCTCGAACAAACCAGAAGCCAAAATCAGATGGAGGGAGCACACAAGTGAGGGGAAATAAATGGGCTTTGGGGGGGGCTTTATTTCTTCTTTTTTTTTCTTGTTGTTTTTTTTTTCGTTGCTCCTCTTTCACACAAATGGGACAAAACAGCTAAATGTTTCCGTTTCTATTGAGAGTGAGGACGACCAGGGGGACCAGATGAAAAAAGTCTTTCTCGCAGTCAATAAGGTTGTCAAACTGGTCAGCGGTAATCAGCGCTAATGATGGGTCTGGGGTCCAGCTCGGACAAAGGGGGCCCTGCCGCTGTTTTGTGAGGGGAAGCGACCGTGGGTCCCTCTCCAAAGAAAAGACTCCTGTGAGGAGTCTGGAGCAGGGAAGCCACAACTTCTCCGGCGTGCGCGAGCATGTGCGAGCCTGTTTACGCGCGCACCGGCTCTTTTACAGGGTGAGCTCGTTGTTTGGCCTGTTAATGGATTTAATCGACACTTTTCTGACCTGTGGCGGCCTTTCGATGTGCCCAGGGCATCGACCGAGCTTTGGTCGTTGTGACAATATTCAAACATCCAGTCTGTTGGCGGCCGTGGCCCAAATGAAGCTGCACGAGACGTCTCACAACTCGATATTTCACCTAAATCTTCGTCTCTGTCAGGGTATTGTGAGGTCCTCGCTGTGGAGGCTTTTACAGATGTGGTGGCAATATGCGATGAAGGGTTGGCTGTGGCCTTAACTGTGAAGGTCTCTTGTGACTGATTTCAGTTTAGTGATCCTCTAAATGTTGTTTTTATGACTGCACGTCGCACCAGCCTGCCTGCAGACCTTTTTATCCATCTGAATATGAATTAATTTGATCCATGTGCAGTTATTTGAATGTCTACCTTTAACAATAACAGTAAATGCCACATCTTTAAATTTACATAATCATAATAATAATGCTATATTTTTTTAAAGGCATCATATATTTTTTTAAACTTTGGGATCAAGAAACAAACACTCTTAGAAAATCCTCCCACTTGCAGGTGAAACTGGTTTAAACCAGAGCCAAACGTTACCAGTCACACAATATGAATTCATAGGTTAAAATAATGTTTGCAAACAGTGTAATGTTGAGCCAGTGTCTCCTGATACAGCTACTACAAAGGAGTAACTTTTACACAGAAAAAAAGGGGGCTGACTTAAATCAGCGTCCTGTCGTGACAGAAGAAATAAAGGATTCAGACCACCCTGGACTCTGTGCAGCAGCCCAGTAAAACCTCACAGACGATTTGTTCCTCTGTAACTAATCCAGACCTCCTGCTGAGTCCTGCGGTGCCACACGGAGCTGTAGGTTCTGGGTTTGGTGGTTCAAAAAGCCCACATGCGGACTCGGCGTTTGACAGGAGAGCCGTCTGAGCTGTGAGAGGCTGCAGACAGACGTCTGCTCACACTCTCAGGCTGCCGTGAGACTGCTGGTTCTGGCGGTGAAAGTAATCCCGGGCTTTTGCTGATCGCTTGTCATGTTAGCCTTTTCTTAAATGCCCCATAATTCATTAATGGAGTGGATTAATAGGGTTAGGATTATCTTTATGCTCACTGATGTTTCACAGTTTGGTGAATCGTAACTGGATATGTCTGCCATTTGAAATTATCTTAACTGAGGTGTTTGGAAGTCTGGGAGACTTAGGGGGGATCTTTTCATGTCATGGATAACTTCTGGCTCCTCTTCGGACAAGTGATGTGCTCTGAGATCACAGATTTTAACAAATGGGTTACATAGCGTCGTTTTAACTGTTATTTTCTGTGTGTTTAGATTACAGCATGGCTTACTGTGCATGATTTAAAAAAGTGACACGTACAGTACGAGAAATAGGCTGCCGGTGAAAAGGATCAGCACCACCTTTAGAAACATTACGCACGCATGTGTAATGAAAAAATAATCACACAGCAAAAAGATATAATTTCAGAAAAGATTATCATAAATTATCTGTGCTCACAGATAATTCAGCCTCAGTAACTCGCTACTAATATTGATTTGAAAACAGCCTTTCGACCTAAAGGGGTCTTTTTCTTTGAATACAATGTAGTGCAGCTTTTTCTACTTTTTGTCCTTTGCATTTTAACTTCACACTGGTCCTATTAAACTCACAATTACAATAGAACACAATTACAACATTTTTTCTGCTTCATGATTACAGGAAATTTGTCACAATTTGCCACTTTTCTAGAAGTGAGTTTATTCATTGGAGAGAGAATCGTTCTTTTCAGTGGGGTTTTTGTCCCCTTCGCTCCCTTGATCGCCAAGATTGCTTGTTGTTGACAAGGTTAGGCCACATTTCACTGTGTGATCCTTTTAAAAAATCGCCATCAAAGTAGTTTCTCCGAATGACAAAAGCGGACGTTTTTTTTTTTGTGTCACTTCATTGTGCGAAAGGCCATGAATTTATATCAAATGATAATTCATCAAAAACGGCTCTCCCTCCCCTTTTCGCCCTCCAGCCTTGAAAATATAACAATTTCAGTGAATTTGTTTGTGTATGATGTTTTTCTTCCAGCGTGAGAGCTTTTCTCGTCAAACAATGAGAGCCAGTGTATGCGCACAGAGGCTCATGCTCTGAAGGCTTCGCTGAACAATTGCCATCATGAGGAGCTGAGTGTGCAAACTGCCTGCCTGTGACGCCCCCTGGTGGCGAGGAGCCTTCACTTGGAGTTTGGGAGTGAGACTTCGACACATTCAGTCCAAAACAAATTGTAGTTGATGTTATAAGGAAATGTTCAACGTTGTATTTTAAGAGGGAAAGTCTATGTCTTGCTTTATCTTTTGCGAGAAGAAGCGCAAACAACTCCAAATTCAAGCAGTGCAGGTTATTTTAATGAATAAATAACCAAACGATAGAGAGAAATGCTTGTGATTTCACATCCAGAACAGCAACCACTGCAAGTTTCAGTTTTTAACTTGTTTCTTATGAGCCATTTACATACATCCTCACACAAGTCATTTGACGGTGGCATGAAATTTGGGTTATATCAAAAGTAAATAAGAGGCAACTTGCATTTCTTTTTAATTAAATCATTCTAGACTCACTGCAAACAAAAACAGGTTGAAAACTGAAAAACAAACCCTTAGAAACTGCAAAAGTTATTTACAAACCTCCTCTGGGTTATAAAAACAGCCTTAAGGGGTTCCAGAGACAACATTGGAACATACAGTTGGATAATATTTAGAACCTCAACTTTGTTGGTTCGGTTAAATCTACGTTTTTTTCTGGTATACTGTGTAGAATTCAGCTTCACTGCATCTTGGTTTCATCGTGGACTCTCCGGATCATCAGTGAAGCTGTGGGAGGCTTTCAGCACCATGGACAGAGCCCCCCTCCTGCAGCCCCCTGCAGTCTACAAACCCTAACACCCAATAAACCACAAATAAAGAAAAAAAAGGCTTTTTTTAAATCTTTTGTCATTAGTTGTATTTATCAATGAAAAAAATATCACATGTGAAAGAAATAAAAAGAAAAGAAAGAAGACATCAACAAACTTTTTTTTTTACATCTGAAAAAGCAAAGAATTTGAAATAAAAAAAGAAAATACTCTGGTGCTACGTTGTTGCATCTGTTCTGATTTTAACATAAAAAAAGAGAACAAAAAATGATTCTGGATGAAAAATCAGGTTTGCAGGTGAATGTTGAAAATTTTCTACTGTCACTGTCTTCTGTTGAAAACAGAGTTGCTCAATCTTTCCCAGGAAACTGT